AAGGTAATGCCACCAGGTAATGCCACCAGGTAGTGCCACCAGGTAATGCCACCAGGTAATGCCACCAACCAGTGCCACCAGGCAATGCCACCCCCTGATTTTGGGGACCCCCATGTAATGTCCCCCTCAGCGAATGCGAGGCACACCAGTGCAACACCGAGGTGCCACCCTGATTTTTGGGGCCCCCGCTTCTGGCCGGCGTGCCACCAGGAGTGGACACTTCGGGACACCGAGGTGCCACCCCTGATTTTAGGGGTCCCCCTTCTGGCCAGCGGTGCCACCACGAGGACACTTTGCGGACACCGACAGGTGCCACCCCTGATTTTGGGGGCTCCCCTCTGGCCGCGGTGTCACCGACGGGACACTTTGGGGACACCGAGGTGACACCCCCTGATTTTTGGGGGTCCCCCCTTCTGGCCGGCGGTGCCACCACGAGGGGACACTTTGGGGACACTAAGGTGCCACCCTCCTGATTTTTGGGGGTCCCCCCTTCTGGCCAGCGGTGCCACCACGAGGGGACACTTTGGGGACACCGAGGTGCCACCCCCGCCCCGAGGGGACCTCGCCAGGCTCGGGGGCAGCCGAGGGGAGATTTCCCAGGACGGGATTTTGGGATGGAGAGGCCTCAATTCCAGCTTAGCCCCGACACTTTGAGCGTGTTTGGCCCCCCCCCAGCGCCCCCCCCCGGGGTGGTGACACGGCTGTCACCCCTCCACGTGACAGTGCCACCGCCTGCAGGGGCACAGCTCGGGGGGGGACAGCTGGGGGGGGTGACAATCAGGGGGGGACAGCTCTGGGAGTGACAGGTCTGAGGGTGACAGGTCTGGAGGTGACAGCTCTGGGGGTGACAGCTGTGGGGGTGACAGGTTTGGAGGTGACAGCTCTGGAGGTGACAGGTCTGGAGGTGACAGCTCTGGGGGTGACAGCTGTGGGGGTGACAGGTTTGGAGGTGACAGCTCTGAGGGTGACAGGTCTGGAGGTGACAGCTCTGGGGGTGATAGTCTGGGAGGGTGACAGCTCTGGGGTGACAGCTCTGGAGGGGTGACAGCTCTGGGGGTGACAGCTCTGGGGGTGACAGGTCTGGAGGGTGACAGCTCTGGGGGTGACAGATCTGGGGGTGACAGCCTGGGGGACAGTTCTGGGAGGTGACAGCTCTGGGAGGTGACAGCTCTGGGGGTGACAGCTCTGGGGGTGACAGCTCTGGGGTGACAGCTCTGGAGGTGACAGCTCTGGGGGTGACAGCTCTGGGGGTGACAGATCTGGGGGTGACAGCTCTGGGGGTGTTCTGGGAGGGGTGACAGCTCTGGGGGTGACAGTCTGGGGGTGACAGCTCTGGGGGTGACAGCTCGGGGGTGACAGTCTGGAGGGTGACAGCTCTGGGAGTGACAGCTCTGGGGGTGACAGCTCTGGGGGTGACAGCTCTGGGGGGTGACAGCTCTGGGGGTGACAGCTCTGGGGGTGACAGCTCTGGGGGTGACAGCTCTGGGGTGACAGCTCTGGGGGTGTTCTGGGAGGGGTGACAGCTCTGAGAGTGACAGCCTGGGGTGACAGGTCTGGAGGTGACAGCTCTGGGGGTGATCTGGGGGTGATCTGGAGGTGACAGCTCTGGGGTGACAGCTCTGGGGTGACAGGTCTGGGGGTGACAGCTCGGGGGTGACAGCTCTGGGGGTGACAGATCTGGGGGTGACAGCTCTGGGGGTGACAGCTCTGGAGGTGACAGCTCTGGGGGTGTTCTGGGAGGAGTGACAGCTCTGGGGTGACAGCTCTGGGGGTGACAGCTCTGGGGGTGACAGCTGGGGGGACAGCTCTGGGAGTGACAGCTCTGGGGGTGACAGTCTGGGGGTGACAGCTCTGGGGGTGACAGGTCTGGGGGTGACAATCTGGGGGTGACAGCTCTGGGGGTGACAGCTCTGGGAGGGTGACAGCTCTGGGGGTGACAGCTCTGGGGTGACAACTCGGGGGGTGACAATCTGGGGGTGACAGCTCTGGGAGTGACAGCTCTGAGGGTGACAGGTCTGGAGGTGACAGCTCTGGGGGTGTTCTGGGAGGGTGACAGCTCTGGGGGTGACAGCTCTGGGGGTGACAGTCTGGGGGTGACAGCTCTGGGGGTGACAGCTCGGAGGGTGACAGCTCTGGGGGTGACAGGTCTGGGGGTGACAGCTCTGGGGGTGACAGCTCTGGGGGTGACAGCTCTGGGGGTGACAGCTCTGGGGTGACAGCTCTGAGGGTGACAGCTCTGGGGGTGACAGCTCTGGAGGTGACAGCTCTGGGGGTGACAATCTGGGGGTGACAGCTCTGGGGGTGACAGCTCTGGGGGTGACAGGTCTGGGAGGTGACAGCTCTGGGGGTGACAGCTGGGGGTGACAGCTCTGGGGGTGACAGTCTGGGGGTGACAGCTCTGGGGGTGACAGCTCTGGGGTGACAGCTCAGGGGTGACAGCTCTGGGGGTGACAGCTCTGGAGGTGACAGCTCTGGGGGTGACAGCTCAGGGGGTGTTCTGGGAGGGTGACAGCTCTGGGGGTGACAGCTCTGGGGTGACAGCTCTGGGAGGTGACAGCTCTGGGGTGACAGCTCTGGAGGTGACAGCTCTGAGGGTGACAGGTCTGGGAGGTGACAGCTCTGGGGGTGACAGATCTGGGGGTGACAGCTCTGGGGGTGACAGTCAGGGGTGACAGCTCTGGGGGTGACAGCTCTGGGGGAGGGTGACAGGTCTGGGGTGACAGCTCTGGGGGTGACAGCTCTGGGAGTGGTGACAGGTCTGGGGGTGACAGCTGGGGGGGACAGCTCTGGGGGGGTGACAGATCTGGGGGTGTTCTGGGAGGGGTGACAGCTCTGGGGGTGACAGGTCTGGAGGGGTGACAGCTCTGGGCGGTGACAGATCTGGGGGGTGACAGCTCTGAGGGTGTTCAGGGAGGGGTGACAGCTTGGGAGGTGACAGCTCTGGGGGGAGACAATCAGGGGGTGACAGCTGTGAGGGTGTTCTGTGGTGGGGTGAAATGTGGCCACTCGTGCTCCACGAGGGACCCCAAAACCAGGACCTCAAACCAGGACCCCAAATCCAGGACCCCAAACCAGGACCCCAAATCCAGGACCCCAAATCCAGGACCCAAAAAACCAGGACCCCAAATCCAGGACCCCAAACCAGGACCCCAAATCCAGGACCCCAAACCAGGACCCCAAATCCAGGACCCCAAACCCAGGACCCCCAAACTCCAGGACCCCAAATCCAGGACCCAAACCAGGACCCCAAATCCAGGACCCCAAATCAGGACCCCAAACCAGGACCCCAAACCAGGACCCCAAACCAGGACCCCAATACCAGGACCCCAAATCCAGGACCCCAAACCAGACCCCAAATCCAGGACCCATCAGAATCCAAGGACCCCAAATCCAGGACCCCAAAACCAGGACCCCAAATCCAGGACCCCAAAACCAGGACCCCAAATCCAGGACCCCAAACCAGGACCAATCCAGGACCCCAAACCAGGACCCCAAACTAGGACCCCAAATCAGGACCCCAACCAGGACCCCAAATCCAGGACCCCAAATCCAGGACCCCAGTCCAAACCAGGACCCCAAATCCAGGACCCCAAATCCAGGACCCCAAACCAGGACCCCAAAACCAGGACCCCAAACCAGGACCCTAGACCAAACCAGGACCCCAAATCCAGGACCCCAAACCAGGACCCCAAATCCAGGACCCCAAATCCAGGACCCAAATCCAGGACCCCAAACCAGGACCCAGGACCCCAAATCCAGGACCCCAAATCCAGGACCCCAAACCAGGACCCAAATCCAGGACCCCAAACCAGGACCCCAAACCAGGACCCCAAATCAGGACCCCAAATCCAGGACCTCGAGAGACCCCTAGACAACCAGGACCCCAAATCCAGGACCCCAAACCAGGACCCCAAATCCAGGACCCCAAATCAGGACCCCAAATCCAGGACCCCAAATCCAGGACCCCAAACAGGACCCCAAATCCAGGACCCCAAACCAGGACTCCAAGAGACCCCAAATCCAGGACCCCAAATCCAGGACCCTAAATCCAGGACCCCAAACCAGGACCTTGAGACCACCCAAATCCAGGACCCCAAATCCAGGACCCCAAACCAGGACCCCAAACCAGGACCCCAAACCAGGACCCCAAATCCAGGACCCCAAACCAGGACCCTAAGAGGACCCCAAACCAGGACCCCAAACCAGGACCCCAAACCAGGACCCCAAACCAGGACCCCAAATCCAGGACCCCAAATCCAGGACCCCAAACCAGGACCCCAAATCCAGGACCCCAAACCAGAACCCCAAACCAGGACCCCAAATCCAGGACCCCAAATCCAGGACCCCAAACCAGGACCCCAAATCCAGGACCCCAAATCCAGGACCCCAAACCAGGACCCCAAAACCAGGACCCCAAATCAGGACCCCAAATCCAAGACCCCAAATCAGGACCCCAAATTCAGGACCCCAAATCCAGAATCCCAAACCAGGACCCCAAATCCAGGACCCCAAATCCAGGACCCCAAATCCAAGACCCCAAATCCAGGACCCCAAATCAAGGACCCCAAACCAGGACCCCAAAACCAGGACCCCAAATCCAGGACCCCAAACCAGGACCCCAAATCCAAGACCCCAAACCAGGACCCCAAATCCAAGACCCCAAACCAGGACCCCAAATCCAAGACCCCAAACCAGGACCCCAAATCCAAGACCCCAAATCCATCCCTAAAGATCAATCCCAATCCAATCCTTTATTGGGGGAGGGGCTGAACTTCCCCCCCAAATCCGGGGGTCTTGTCCGGGGTGGGGGAGGGGGGAGCAGCTCAGGGGTCCTCGGGGTCCTTCCCAGCCCTGGGGGGAGGGAAAAAAACCGGGATTAGGGGGGAAATTTGGGATATTCTGGGGATATTTGGGATATTTGGGATATTAATTGGGATATTAATTGGGATATTTGGGATATTATTTGGGATATTTGGGTTAATATCTGGGATATTTGGGATAATAGCTGGGATATTTGGGATATTGGCTGGGATATTTGGGATATTCTTGGGATATTTGGGATAATAGCTGGGATAATAGTTGGGATATTTGGGATATTAATTGGGATATTTGGGATATTAGCTGGGATATTTGGGATATTGGTTGGGATATTTGGGATATTAATTGGGATATTTGGGATAATAGTTGGGATATTTGGGATATTAGCTGGGATATTTGGGATATTTAGGATATTTGGGATATTCTTGGGATATTTGGAGATATTAGCTGGGATATTTGGGATATTAATTGGGATATTTGGGATATTGGTTGGGATATTTGGGATAATAATTGGGATATTTGGGATAATAATTGGGATATTTGGGATATTAGCTGGGATATTTGGGATATTGGTTGGGATATTTGGGATATTCTTGGGATATTTGGGATATTAGCTGGGATATTTGGGATATTAATTGGGATATTTGGGATATTAGTTGGGATATTTGGGATATTAATTGGGATATTAATTGGGATATTTGGGATATTAGCTGGGATATTTGGGATATTCTTGGGATATTTGGGATATTAGCTGGGATATTTGGGATATTGGTTGGGATATTTGGGATATTAGCTGGGATATTTGGGATATTGGCTGGGATATTTGGGATATTAGTTGGGATATTAATTGGGATATTGGTTGGGATATTTGGGATATTTGGGATATTGGGATATTTGGGATATTAATTGGGATATCTGGGATATTTAGACATTGTGGATATTTGGGATATTAATTGGGATATCTGGGATATTTGGGATATTGGTTGGGATATTTGGGATATTAATTGGGATATTAGTTGGGATATTTGGGATATTGGTTGGGATATTTGGGATATTGGTTGGGATATTTGGGATATTGGTTGGGATATTTGGGATATTGGTTGGGATATTTGGGATAATAATTGGGATATTTGGGATAATAGTCGGGATATTTGGGATATTGGTTGGGATATTTGGGATAATAATTGGGATATTTGGGATAATAGTCGGGATTATTTGGGATATTAATTGGGATATTTGGGATATTATTTGGGATATTAGGGATATTATTTCTGGTATTATTTGGGATATTATCTGGGATATCTGGGATATTATTTGGGATATTAGGGATATTATTTGGGATACTATTGGGGATATTATTGGGTATAATATTTGGGACATTTGGGCTATTATTTGGGACATTATTAATGATATTATTTGGACTATTTGGGCCATTATTCGGGCTATTATTTGGGCTATTTGGGCTATCATTTGGGCCATTATTTGTGATATTATTTGTGCTATTTGGGCCATTAGGGCCATTATTTGTGATATTATTTGGACTATTTGTACCATTATTTGGGCTATCATTTGTGCTATCTGGGCTATCATTTGGGCCATTATTTGGGATATTATTTGTGCTATTTGGGCCATTATTTGGGCCATTATTTGGGCTATTTGGCCATTATTTGGGCCATTATTTGGGCTATATGGGCTATCATTTGGGATATTATTTGTTATATTATTTGGGCTATTTGGGCTACTATTTGGGCCATTAATTGGGTCGTTATTTGGGCTATTATTTGTGCTATCAGGGCTATCATTTGGGCCATTATTTGGGCTATTTGGGCCATTATTTGGGTTATCATTTGGGCCATTATTTGGGCCATTATTTGTGATTTTATTTGCGCTATTAGTGATATTATTTGGACTATTTGGGCCATTATTTGGGCCATTATTTGGGCTATCATTTGTGCTATCTGTGCTATCATCTGGGTCACATTTGGATTATTTGAGCCATTATTCAGGCTATTATTTGGACTATCAGGGCCATTATTTGGGACATTATTTGTGATATTATTTAGACTATTTGAACCATTATCCAGGCTATTATTTGTGCTATCTGGGCTATCATTTGGGCCATTATTTGGGTCATTATTTAGTGATGTTATTTGGGACATTATTCGTGATATTATTTGGGCTATTTGGGCCATTATTTGGGCCATTATTCGGGCTATCATTTGGGCTATCTGGGCTATTATTTGGGCCATTATTTGTGCTATCAGGGCCATTATTTGTGACATTATTTGTGATATTTTTGGGGCTATTTGGGCCATTATTTGGGCTATCATTTGGGCTATCTGGGCTATTATTTGGGCCATTATTTGGGCTATTTGAACCATTATTCAGGCTATTATTTGGGCTATCATTTTGGCAATTATTTGGGCTATTATTTGGACTATTTGGGCCATTATTTGGGCTATCTTTGGGCCATTATTTGGGCCATTATTTGGGCTATCTGGGCCATTATTTGGGCCATTATTTGGGCTATCTGGGCTATCATTTGGGCCATTATTTGGGACATTATTTATGATATTATTTGGGCCATTTGGTATTATTTGGGCCATTATTTGGGACATTATTCGGGCTATCTGGGCTATCATTTGGGCCATTATTTGGGCTATTATTTGGATTATTTGGGCCATTATTCAGGCTATCATTTGTGCTATCAGGGCTATCATTTGGGCCATCATTTGGGCCATTATTTGGGACCATCATTTGGGCCATTATTTGTGATGTTATTTGGGACATTATTAGTGATATTATTTGGACTATTTGGGCCATTACTCGGGCTATCATTTGGGCCATCTGGGCTATAATTTGGGCCATTATTTGGGTTATTTGGGCTATTTGGGCCATTATTTGGGCCATTATTTGTGTTATTTATGATATTATTTGGGCCATTATTCGGTCTATCATTTGGGCTATCATTTGGGCCATCATTTGGGCCATTATTTGGGCCATTATTCGGGCTATTATTTGGGCTATTTGGGCCATTATTTGGGCCATTATTTGGGCTATCATTTGGGCCATTATTTGGGCCATTATTCGGGCTATTTGGGCCATTATCTGGGCTATCATTTGGACTATTTGAGCCATTATCCAGGCTATTATTTGTGCTATCAGGGCTATCATTTGGGCCATTATTTGGGCTATCATTTGTGCTATCAGGGCCATCATTTGGGCCATTATTTGTGATATCATTTGTGCTATCAGGGCTACCATTTGGGCCATTATTTGGGCTATTTGGGACATTATTTGGGCCATTATTCGGGCTATCAGGGCTATCATTTGGGCCATTATTTGGGCTATTATTTGGACTATTTGAACCATAATCCAGGCTATCATTTGTGCTATCAGGGCTATCATTTGGGCCATTATTTGGGCTATTTGAACCATTATCCAGGCTATCATTTGGGCTATTTGGGCCATTATTTGGGCCATTATTTGGGCCATCATTTGTGCTATCAGGACCATCATTTGGGCCATTATTTGGTCTATCATTTGTGCTATCAGGGCTATCATTTGGGCAATTATTTGGGCCATTACTCAGGCTATTATTTGTGCTATCAGGGCTATCATTTGGGCCATTATTTGGGCCATTATTTGGCCCATCATTTGTGCTATCAGGACTATCATTTGGGCCATTATTTGGGCCATAATTCGGGCTATTATTTGGATTATTTAGGCCATTATCCAGGCTATCATTTGTGCTATCTGGGCTATCATTTGGGCCATTATTTGGGCTATTATTTGGGCCATTATTTGGGCCATTATTTGGGCTATTATTTGGGCCATTATTTGGGCCATTATTTGGTCTATCATTTGTGCTATCAGGGCCATCATCTGGGCCATTATTTCCACTCTCCAGGGGTTGTTTTTTTCCCTCACCTGAGGTTGTCACAGAAGCGAATCACGGCCTCTTCCTGCTCGGGGGTCTCGATGGAGCCGGGCCGGAGGCGCCGAATTTCCCGCACGGCCTCGACCCCGCTGAGCCCCCGAAGCTTCCCCAGGTAACAGCCCAGGAGGGTCCCAGTGCGGCCCAAACCCAGGGCACAGTGCACGGCCACGGCCTGGGGGAGGGGGGACAGCGATGGGAGGGGGTGACAACACCCCCTGGGCACTGGGATATCACCCAGGGTCTGAGATATCACCCAGGAATCTACAACACCCCCCGGGGGTCTGGGACATCACCCAGGGGTCTGAGATATCACCCAGGATCTGAGATATCACCCAGGTAACAGCCCAGGAGGGTCCCAGTGCGGCCCAAACCCAGGGCACAGTGCACGGCCACGGCCTGGGGGAGGGGGGACAGCGATGGGAGGGGGTGACAACAACCCCTGGGCACTGTGACATCACCCGGGAATCTACAACATCACCCGAGGATCTCCGAGATCATGCACTCCCGGGGCTCTGTGATATCACCCAGGATCTAGATATCACCCAGGGATCTGAGATATCACCCAGGATCTGAGCACCACCCC